ATAACATCTCACCAGTGTGTCCCACGCAACCTTTGCTGTTGTTAAATCTGCAATCTTCTCAAACACATTTACATCCACACATTGATGAATGAAGAACAATGCTTTCTGATCCTTCTTCCTTACTTCCTTCTGCGCGTTTTTCTGTTCATCTGTTGCATTTGCTGCTACTGGAACATAACCATCAGTGACAAGATCTAGAACATCTTGAGCACCAAATAGTACACGCATTTGGATCATCCAACGATTCCAGTTTTTACCGTCAAATACTGGAAGCTTGGTGTTCATGTTGCCGTTTCCGTTCATCTTCACCTTGCACAATACACTCAATGTTTCTCACACAGTGTTTCCCAACCCACAGAATTAAAATTCTGATCAGATTTTGTTCAAGATTCAACACGAATCTAAGAATCAAAATCAAACACACAAGACCTCACGTTCACTCGTGTTTCCCAATGAATCTGAACCGGAGCTCTAGATACCAATTGTTGGTGCAAAGGTAGAATAAATGATGAAAGGTAGAAATATTCTATTGAGAGAATGACGGCTACACAACTACTACAAATAACAATGATTGTAACCCTATTTATAAACTAAAATTAGGGTTACTAGAATAAGATAAAATATTAAAATATCCTCTAACAAACTTAGGAGTTAAGAAAATAGTACTAATAATATGAATTACTTCTAATAAAATACACTATTGGTATTTGGATAAAACACAACAAACAAGAAAAAAGCAGGCCGGAACAAAACACTAGAAGCAGTCTTTACCACTTAGCAAGTAGTGCCTGCCCATGCTCATATAAGACGAATATATGGTTATTGAAATACTTTAATATATGTAAAATTTAGTAAAATTACATGAACAAGTTCTCCCCCATAACATGCATCCACTTGTACAAAGGTATTCAGTGTTGGTTTCATTTCATTTCACTATTTCCCATGAAAATGAAAACAAGTATGGTATACAAATTTCTATTATCATAACATAAAATAATATTTAAATGTGATACACAAAACTTTAATTAGTTGATAGAATTTAAAAACAAACAATTAAGATTGTATTGAAAATTAAAATTGATAAATCTCAAAAACTTTTTGAGTGTTTGGAGAAGAGGGAAAGAGAAGACTTGAGAAGGAAGGAAAAGAAAAATGAAGGAAGAAAAGAGGAAGGAGGAAAACCACTTCACTTAGCTGTTTGAAAGTTAAGAAAAATTTAAAAGGAAAGGCAATGAAGACTTATGGAATAATTTTAGTATTTTACACTTTTTTAAAATAATTATTATCTTGTGTTGTGTACATTCTGATTTAACTTATATAAAACATACAAATCTAAAATATAGGTATATCTATAAAAAAAACTTGATAAAAATATCAATATATTAAAATTTTTATTTTATAAAAAGTTGTATTGCCTTATTATTAATTTAAAAAATAAAAACAAAATGATAAACCTCTCTCAATAAATAAAATTATATGCTTTTTCTCATATATTAAGTAAAACAATAATAATAAGTATAATACACTTTCTAAAATAGTATCCAATTTTAAAGTTATTAAAAATATTCATTAATAAAATTTAATTAACTATTAAAAATAAATACATTTAAATAAGTCGGCTTAATTGATGAAATCTGACACATACAAAAGAGTAATTTGAATTAAATTAAGAGCGGAGATCAACTTACTCAGGAAATTTTTTTAACTTATTCTAAATCATAATCTTTGAATTGAATTTAATCTAATGGTTAAATTAGTCTTTTACTTAATTAAACATTAGATTATATTCAATTCAAAGACTATGATTTGAAGTAAAAAAAACGTACTCTTAAAGTAAGTTGATCTCCACCCTTAAATTAATTTAATTCAACTTGTAAGCCAAAATTTTATTTAGAATAAATTGAACTAAAAAGCCACACTCTAACTCTAAATCTTGAAAATTGTTTCTCCAGACTGGATTGACACCCGCTTAACCAACTAAGGAAACAATTGACAGAAAAATAAAATGGGCCAAATGCTTTTCGAAGTAAAAATGACCATCAGATCAAGGCGAATGGAGATTTGAGAACATATTTTTCTTAAGACAAGTTTGATAAAGAGTTTTAAGGACCTTGACCATATAACCATACTATCGATACCATTTTTAAGTATACTTTATTCTAACCCTAAACACATTATACTTTTTCTCTTCGGTGACTTAATTAGGTGTCAGAGTATTTTTAAGTGCCTTTCCCCTGTTAGAATTACTTGATTGATAATTTTGACTAAACATCAATTCTAATAGAAAATTATTTCATGTATATTTTGAAAGTCCAAGTAAAGCAAACTTTTAACAAAAATTAAGAAGATAAGAATATGTTCATCTTAGCATATGAATGCTCGCTTATCATTCCTACAAAAGTTTCCAAACTTCTTTTTGCTAGAACTTGAAATTACAAGATTGGTGAAAAATCGAGAAATTGAGTGTGGAGAAGGAGATAGTGAGAGAGAGAATTAGAGATATGTTAATTAAGGGTGAGAATGCACGTTCATTCGTCATTCAGCTTTAAACTGTGCAATGATAACTCTAAGATATATATATATATATATATATATATATATATATATATATATATATATATATATATATATATATATATATATATATATATATATATATATATATATATATATATATATATATATATATATATAATTACAATGGATTGAAACCCAAGTAACAAGCTAAAAAAATTGAAACTAATTTCTTGTAAACGGTTGCATAAAACATGTAATCGGTTACAAATGTTTGAACAAAACAAAATAAACTCAGTGATAATCAGTTACACATTTGCAATAACTGGTTACACTAGTTCAAATAGCAAAAAATGAAGTAACCAGTTACAACACTTGAATCATGTGATTTCTCGCAACACACAACTTCAATTCAAATGCTTTAAGTCTTTCATGCCCATGTTCTTCTTCAATCTCTTGAACACTTCAATTGTGACTCTCTTGGTCAGCAAATCGACCACTTAGTCTTTACTTCAACAATATCTCAATCTTAACCTTCATTTACTAACAAGTTCCCTCAAGTAGTAAAACCTCATCTCAATATGCTTGTTTCTCCCATGTGAAATTGGGTTCTTAGAAATATTTATAGCGAAAATGTTATCAACCATGAGCGTTACAGTGTCACCCTCTTCGCTGCCTAGCTCTTTCAACATATTCATTAACCACACGGCTTGGCGCACGCACACATACACACACAATGAAACGACAATATACTCGACCTCACAAGAAAATAGTGTTACTATGGTTCCTTTTTCGAATACCATGAGATTGGCGTTTCACCAAACATAAAGATGTATCTTGCTGTAGATTTTTTATCATCTTTATCTCCGCACAAATTAGAATTGGTAAAACCGGGCAAATTTTACTTTTTTCCCGTGACCGTTGCGGGAAAAAGAATTCTGCAACCAACAGGTCCTTTGACGTATCTTAGAATTCTCTTAAATGCTACCAAGTGAGACACATTCGGTCTCTTCATAAATCTACTCACAATACCGACTTAAACGCCAAAGTCAATCGCATATTACACATGTAACGCAAGGATCCAATCAACCTCCTATACTTAGTTGGATTCACATATCGCTCATCCTCATTCTTCAAATAATGTAACCTCGATTTAGTTGGAGTAATGACAACATTAAAATGCTCCATTTCAAACTTCTTCAAATTCTCAAGCGCATACCTTCGCTCTTTTCCTTCCGATAGATTAATTAACTCCCAAATCTTATTTTTATCAATCGATTTTAGCTCCTCATTCATAACACAAATCTATTTTGGATCACTCGATCCTTGATCTTTAGTCTTTGTACCCCATAATCGGGGGCATATCTTAAATGAATCTTTAAGAATCTTTACTCTCCCAATCCCAGATCTTTCATATATCCTTTATATCATTTCATTGAATTAAAACTTTACCTTTTGATCTTTAACACATTTTATTTGATTAAAATCTCTTATTTTTCTTTCTCTTCCCTTAATCCAAAACCCCATATGTACTCCCCCAAAATCTCTCGATATGCTCCTTACATGCCTATTTAGACCCTTTTTAGAAAAATCTTTTCTGATTGAGGTATATCCAAAAATTAACCTTCGGGCTCTTCTCAAAATTGGAGTTTTACTGATCTATTTTGCACTCATAATATCCTTTATCAATTTCACAACCAATATCCGATTTATTGGACCTATTAATCCAATTCGAGAGTCAGTTCTGACATTAATTAATTTTAGTCTTCTCCTAATCGCAATTGTAGAAGATCGAACGATGATCTTCCATACAAAATTCAGTGTTAATCACCACTAAACCAATTAATGATTGATTCCTTTTATCCATTTTTATTTATATTAATTTTCACACCATAAATATATCAAAATTTATATTAATGTGTAAAAGTTTTACTACCACAGCCCTCTTTTTATCAAAATTTAAATTTAAAGTTAACCAGACATAATAAAACTAAACACTAATAGTATTATAACTTTAAAAGAAGGTAGAAATTTCGTTTTCAAAGACTAATATGACCATATATTAATTTTAACTCTTATAACGATCACATGTTCTAATATTCTCTGAGAATTATGAATAGAAAAACTGAAATACTTCCATTCCATGTAAAGGGCAAGCCTAATGTGAAGTCAACAAAATAAGCGAAACAGAGCGCAGGTAACGGCACCGACTACCACATGTAACAAAAGAAACCAAGCAATGGCAGAAACGTAATTAAACATCAATCAAATTAACCAAAAAAAATTAGTTAAAAAAGAAACACGTTAAGCACTTTCTCTTTATAAATACTCATTTCATCTGACACTCACTCTGCCACTCTCATCTTCTCTTCCATTCCAATTTATTCTCTTCTCCATAATTATTTAACCATTAATTAATCAAATCTAACCTAACATTTCTATTCTCTTATCTTCTTTTTTGTTTTCTTTTGTTTTGAACCCAAATTATGGGTTCTGTTTCTGTTTCCACCATCTTCTGTTTCCTTCTCGTTACGCTCTTTTCACAATGCCAATCATCACCGTCCAAAAAAACCTTCATAGTTCACATGAAGGACCACGATAAGCCTACCGTATACCAAACCCATCACGATTGGTTTTCTTCAACACTCCAATCTCTCTCCATTTCCACCGATACCGATACCAATACGGACTCAGTCGACTCCGATCCGCTTCTGTACTCTTACACAACCGCTTACAACGGTTTCGCCGCCACGTTAAACGACCAACAAGCGCAAGCACTACTCCAAAACGACGCTGTTTTGGGTGTTTACGAAGATACTCTCTACCATCTTCACACTACACGGACTCCACAGTTTCTTGGACTCGAATCGGGAAATGGTTTATGGGAAGGACATGGAACGCAGGAGTTAGATCAAGCGTCACATGATGTTATCGTAGGGGTGCTTGACACTGGAGTTTGGCCGGAATCTCCTAGTTTTAACGATGCTGGTTTGCCTCAGATTCCCACGCGCTGGCGTGGCGCGTGTGAGAATGCACCAGATTTTAACGCGACGCACTGTAACAGAAAACTCATCGGTGCTAGAAGCTTCTCTAAAGGCTTCCACATGGCTTCCGGTTACGGAAAAGGATCTAAAGATGATGAAATTGTTTCGCCTCGTGACACTGACGGCCATGGGACTCACACGGCTAGCACCGCCGCTGGCTCTCATGTCGGGAATGCTAGTTTTCTCGGTTACGCTGCTGGAACCGCTAGAGGCATGGCTCCTCAAGCGCGTGTTGCGGTTTACAAAGTTTGTTGGACTGACGGTTGTTTTGCTTCTGACATTCTCGCCGGGATGGATCGTGCGATTCAAGACGGTGTTGACGTACTTTCTCTCTCCCTCGGCGGTGGATCTGCTCCTTATTTTCATGACACCATTGCGATCGGAGCTTTCGCAGCGGTGGAGCGTGGGATCTTCGTTTCCGCTTCCGCTGGTAACAGCGGTCCCACCAGGGCTTCACTTGCCAACGTGGCGCCGTGGATTATGACCGTTGGAGCAGGAACATTAGACCGGGATTTTCCGGCTTATGCAACACTTGGCAACAAAAAACAGTTTTCAGGAGTTTCTCTTTACAGTGGAAAAGGAATGGGAAATAAACCGGTTAGTTTGGTTTATTTCAAGGGTTCAAATTCAAACCAGTCTGCTAGTATTTGTATGGCCGGTTCACTCGACCCGGCTTTGGTTCATGGAAAAGTGGTTATCTGCGACAGAGGAATCAACGCGCGCGTGGAGAAAGGTAAAGTTGTAAGAGAGGCCGGTGGAATTGGGATGATTCTAGCGAACACTGTGGCAAGTGGGGAAGAATTAGTGGCGGATAGTCACCTGTTACCGGCTGTGGCGGTAGGGAGAATCATTGGTGATCAGATCAGGGAGTACGTGTCTTCTGATGCTAATCCAACGGCTGTGCTTAGTTTTGGTGGAACTCTTTTGAACGTTAGACCTTCACCTGTGGTGGCAGCGTTTAGTTCGAGGGGGCCCAATATGATAACAAAAGAGATTTTGAAGCCTGATGTTATTGGGCCCGGTGTGAACATTTTGGCTGGATGGTCGGAAGCTATTGGGCCCTCTGGGTTGCCGGAGGATACTCGCAAAACACAGTTCAACATTATGTCAGGTATTTTTGCCTTTCCCTTTTTGTATGTAGGGTAGGTCATTGATGAGTTTGCTTTAAATTTTGAATTAAAGTGTGTAAATTGTTGACTATATAACCATTTTAGGGCAGCTTTTATTGTGGTCCACCACTACTAAAAATGATTCCAAATTAAATTGATGATTGAAGATGTCCCTCTAGAATTAGAAATCTCATTTTTATAGTTTATATCATCATAATAATCTTTGACAACGTGTAAGACTATTATAGTTAAATAAAACATTTATTTGTTTTGTCACAGTTAAACTACACATAGCGATCATATAATTGTTGGAGTGTTGATTTTAGTTTGTTGATTGAATTTTCAGGCACTTCAATGTCTTGTCCACACATAAGTGGATTAGCTGCATTGTTGAAAGCAGCTCATCCAAATTGGAGTCCAAGTGCAATAAAATCCGCACTTATGACAACAGCTTATACACATGACAATACCAGGTTCCCACTTCGTGATGCTGCTGGAAAAGGCTTTTCAACTCCATGGGCTCATGGTGCTGGCCATGTCAACCCACAGAAAGCACTTTCTCCTGGCCTTGTTTATGATGCCTCAACGAGAGATTACATTACTTTCTTGTGCTCCTTAAACTACAATCCTGAACAAATCCAACTCGTTGTTAAGCAACGAGGTGTCAATTGTACCAAGAAGTTCTCTGATCCTGGTCAGTTGAACTACCCTTCTTTCTCGGTCGTGTTTTCAGGTAAGAGGGTTGTGAGATATACCCGCATTTTGACAAATGTTGGCGAGGTGGGATCTGTCTATAATGTTGTGGTTGAAGGGCCACCTACCGTGGGGATAGTGGTGAGACCTTCTAGGCTTGTGTTTAAGAAAGTAGGGGAAAGAAAAAGGTACACTGTGACTTTTGTTTCTAAGAAGAGTGCTGATGCTTCTTCGGTTAGGAATGGATTTGGTAGCATTCTATGGAGCAATACACAGCACCAAGTTAGGAGTCCAGTTGCTTTTGCTTGGACAAGTTTGTGAGTGAATTTGCACTTTAAAGACAAGTCTTTACTTTGGTCCAAAAAGAAAGGGAAAAAAAGGAGGTGCTTGAGGCTTTGATGCCATCCACAACATAACATTATTTAGTTAGAAGTTTAGGAGGTTGTGATTTCTTTGTTGTGTTTTTCTAAATGTGGTGGAAAGGTTGGAAAACAAGTTGAGATTGAAGAAGTGAGGAGATGGTTTTTTTCCCCATAATTTCTTTAGTTGCTGTGTTGTGTGCGGTAAAGTAATGTAACAAAACTAAGGCGTTGATATTATGTAAACGTCCTTAAGGAATGATTAATTTGATTCATAAATTCGTGCAAAAATCAGTAGACTGAATTCTACTTCATGCTAATCGTACTTTATAACTAAATTCATCAACTTATTCTAGCAAAATACAAACAGGTAAATTTATTTAATATGATATATATTTGAATTTATTTAAATATACATATAAATATAAAATGAATTATATAGTTATAAATTAAATAATAATGATATAATTTTAAATTTAACACTTGAAAATAAGAATTTTATCTTTTAAATAAAGATAATTGTTAACTAAAATAAAATATATATTTTGATGATAGTGACAATAGATAATTTTGTTAATAGTGATCCGTGACTATTGAGTATTATTTAATTTTATAACATAAAACTTTAATTTTATTAAAATTTAAAAATACATTAATTAATATCTTTAATAATAATAAATAAATAAAATTGATTAAATTTGTGTAAAAACAAAACTAAATATTAATATTGTATGCATTTATACACCAATAAATATTTAATACGATAATCATATATTATAATTATAATGTTCGAAATAAGGTGATGTATCACTTGAAAAAAAAATCGAAATATTAGTTATTTATTTATTTTAATCTTTTATTAGTGTAAATTATTATAAAGAAAAAACTAATTTAAGTAAGTTCGTGATAATTAATATTAATAGAAAAATATTTAATACTTATAAAAAAATAAAAAAAGGAAAAGGAAAATGAAATGTTAAAAAATAAAAAATGAAGGTGAGAAAGTGTGAGAACAAATTTTTAAAAAAAGAGAATGAAAATGAAAAAGTTGAAATTTAAAATTGAATTATTGAAACATGATTATGTGTCACTTTGTGGTATTATATTGAAAAAAAATTGAGACATTAATTATTTATTTATTTTTTAATCTTTTAATAGTGTAATTAATGTAAACAAGAAAACAATATAGATAATTTATCGATAGTAGATTTTAATTGATAGATAATTGATTAGATTTTCTATTAGAGCTATTACCATATAATTTATTGGTTTAATAAAGTTATTTTTAGTAAAAGATAAGCTGATAAGCTAATTTATAATGTTTGAACTTGTATAGCCTATGGGTTATAGTTTATTGACTAGTTGATGTTCTAGTAAATAAATTGTAAAATTGCATTAAAGAAAATGAAATTTTGTCTTCATAATTTCCAAAAAAATGAATTAAACTTGAAACATTTTCCAATCTAGGTTAAGAAGCAAACTCAACCATTATATTTTAAAAAATCTTCATTTCATAAAATATCAAACCCTTAACATAATTACTTTTAGTTTTGGCCGACAACATAGATTACATGCGATCCCGCCCTAATAGAAAAGTATATTTATGGCAAAGGAGAAATCATGGGTGCAACTTTGAAGAGGATAACAGGTGAGAGAAACATGATATAACAAAGAAACAAGCATTGAAAGAGAAATTAAGATGAAAAACAAAATTTCCCATGACTTTTTACCAAAACCTGAAAGACATGTGGGTGGAGTTTTGTTAAATTCATCCCATCAATATTAGAACTATTAAAATAATGGAATGAAAAGTTAAGAGAACAAATTTAAAAAAAAAAAGGTTTCTCATATTTTTTCATTCGTCCTTTAAATCTTCAGTTCTTTTTCCTAATCTTCAGTTGATTTAGTCGAATATTGTAACAACATTATGTTATTTAAAATCATCGATTCCTTAACTATATTGTTGTTTATTTCATTATGCTTTTGAAGTAACCCATTATGTACCGATCAAAACTCAACCTCCATTACGTGACTATCGAAATTCGTCAGTTGGAGATCCAACAAAACCAAAACTGAAGCGAGCTACTTTCATTGCCGCCAAACACTGCAAGATCATCCACTTTTGTAACCGCAAACTATTACAAAGATGAAGTTCAATTCAAAATCGATTTTTCCGCCTTGGCTTACAAGAGCGGATAAACACGAATTATATACAAAAGGCCCAATCATCAAAACAGAAAGGCCCAACAACATAACAAAGGAAAGCCCAATTAAGCTATTTATCTAATACCCCATAAACTTGAGAGAAAATTTTACTCCATACTTCCACAATTATACCCATATCCTTATACTAAATTTTTTTGGACCAAAATACTCTTCTATAAAAAGTTATAATTTTTTCGTTTATTTATCGAAAAACTTTTTGAAAGTCATTCACATTTTTTTTGGTTTGTTTACCGGAAGACTTTTTGGAAGTCTTCCAATTCACATTTTTTTTGGTTTGTTTAGGGGAAGACTTTTTATAAGTCTTTCTGTTCATATTTTTTTTTTAATTTTGAATTTTTTTTAATATTTCAATTACAAATATATTTATTTTATTTACTCTATTTTAGTTAATTAATATATTTATTGTATTTACTCTATTTATTCTGTAGTTTGTTATATTTATTCTATTTATTTATTTAATATTAATTATTTCAATAATTTGTTTTTTTTATTAATTTACTATATTTATTTACTTAATAATAATTACTCCACTAATTTGGTATTGTTTTTTTAATCAATAAAAATAAAAGTTGTTAACTAATTTATATATTAATTGTGTTCTTTAAAGAAAGAAAATTAACAATTTAATAATATGTTTATATGAAAAATAAAAATAAATATCATATTTAAATTATAATCCTATCATTTCTTCTATCAAAAATTTTCACAAAAAAATTATAATATATAACATTTATAATTATTTAAACAATAATTATTAACTTTTAAAATATTAATAACTAATTAAATCATAAATAATAACATTTAAAACCTCCACCTCCACCTTTATGGTTGCTTAATTAAATAAAAAACTTATAAAATAAAATAAAAAACACGATCAATATTTATGATTTAATTAATTTTTAATATTTTAAAAGTTAATATTTTATCCCATAAAATATTTTACCCCTGCAAATTTTAAAAGTTAATATTTTATGGTGAAAATTTTTAAAAGTATATTTTACTCCATAAAATATATTTTTAAAAGTTAATATTTTACCCCATAAAATATTGTTTAAATAATTATAAATGTTATATATAATAATTTTTTGGTAAATTTTTTTTATAGAAGAAATGATAATTATAATTTAAATATAATATTTATTTTTATTTTTCATATAAATATATTATTAAATTGTTAATTTTCTTTCTTTAAAGAACACAATCAATATATAAATTAGTTAACAACTTTTATTTTTATTGATTAAAAAAAATAATACCAAATTAGTAGAGTAATTATTATTAAATAAAAAATATAATAAATTAATAAAAAATTAAATTAGTGGAATAATAGTTATTAAATAAATAAATAGAATAAATATAACAAATTACAAAATAAATAGAGTAAATAGAATAAATATATTAATTAACTAAAATAGAGTAAATAGAATAAATAGAGTAAATAGAATAAATATATTTGTAATTTGAATATTAAAAAAAATTAAAAATTAAAAATTGAAAAAAAAAATGAACCGGAAGACTTCCAAAAAGTCTTCCGGTAAACAAACAAAAAAATGTGAACCGGAAGACTTTCAAAAAGTTTTCCGGTAAACAAAAAAAAATGTGAACCGAAAGACTTCCAAAAAGTCTTCCGGTAAACAAATAAAAAAAAATGTGAACCGGAAGACTTCCAAAAATTCTTCCGGTAAACAAACGAAAAAATTATAACTTTTTATACGAGGATATTTTGATCCAAAATTTTTTAGTGTAGGGGTATGGGTATAATTGTAGGGGTATAGGGTAAAATTTCCAACTTGAGAATATATGCAATGTAGACCAAACTTATCAATGTTTGATAGAAAAATAGAAACATCTAAGGCTAAGTAAAAATATCTGCTAATTGTTGAGAAGATGTGACAGAAAGAAGGTGGAAAAGATGTTGTTGAAGTTTTCCGCGAACAAGATGGCAATCGAGGTCGATGCTATTGTTTCGTTCGTGGAATGAAGTATTGTTGGAAATGTGAATGGCTAATGCATTATCATAGTATAACAATGCAGGACTTTTGAAATGTATCTTAAGCTCAATGATGACATTGGTTAGCCATTGTAATTCACAAACTGTAGAGGTCATGGAACGGTACTCGGCTTCAATGGAGTTGCGAGAGACAGTGACTTGTTTCTTGGATTTCCAGGATATCAATGAATCACCCAGGTAATACAGAAACTGGTTATAGATTTGCGAGTTTCAAGGCAGGTGGCCCAATTTGAATTAGAAAAAGCCTTGAGTTGTAAGGTGGAATTGTTGCGGAAGAAGAGACCTTGAGCAGGAGAGGATTTGAGATATCGTAGCACGCGAAGAGCAGCATTGTAATGAACATCTGTTGGTTGACTCATGTATTGGCTCAGTTGTTGCACAGAGTATGAGATGTCAGGTCTTGTATTCAGCAAGTAGATAAGTTATCCAACAAGTCTGCGATATTTGGTGGGATCCAGCATTCTAGTACCACCAGTAGTCTTTAATCTGGTGTCACAAGTCATTAATGTGGAAGTTGTTTTACAACCAAGAAAACCTGTGTTAGAGAGAAGGTCAAGAGTATACTTGTGTTGATTGATGTTGATGCCTGATTTGTTTCTTGCTACTTCAAGGCCTAGAAAGTATTTGAGTGTGCCAAGGTCCTTGATATGGAAATGGCTTTGAAGTAATTGCTTGGTTGTGTTAATGACATCTAGATTGTTGTCTGCAAGAAGAATGCTACCAAC